ACCCTCCGCCAGCCATTCCCGTGTCTCTGCTCTTTGTTCGAGGAGAAACCATCTCAGCTAAGGACAGAAAATGAGCCAGACCAGGGGCAGGGCTGGTTTTGCTGCTGCCAGCACTTGCCTGTACTGCTGCCGGGGGTCCAGCTTCCCCGTGTTCGTCTCCCAGAGCTTGGAGGCCAGCACCCGGACGATGTTGAGGAAAAGGAAGAAGTTCACCTGCCAACAGACACCCGCTGTGGTTTTGTTGCCCACAGTGACCTGGGCCAGCCCGAGCAGCCCCTCAGGATGAGGATGGGCAGTTAGGGGTGAGCTGCAGGTGGGGACGTGATGCTGCGGTCAGAGCAGGGAGGGACCAGAGCCCCTGGGTCCCTCTGCATCATGTGGACCCTCCCTGGGACTTTCCCACCAACCCCAGTGACCACAAGGGACCAGCTCTGGATCTCTATCGATCCCCTTTCCCCAAAAGGGATCAAGAGATTCAACCAGGGGATTCTTACCACAATGGCAGCCAGAATGGGAACCTGATAAATCCACTTCAAGTTTCCTGCGCTGAGGTCCCAGCACCTGAAGAGACCAGTAAAGAAACACCTTGGAAAAACCTGAAACCACCGGTAAGGAAAATTACCAGCTGATGGCTCCCTGTATCCCCAGCCACTGTCCTCATCCTCCTGCTCTTCACCTCCCTGGGGAGAGAAGTTTGTAGAGTTTGTGTAAATCTTGACCCAAGAGCAGCAATGCTACAAGCATCCATAACCATCACGGTGCTGCAGATCTGTTTTGAATTGGCATTGACCTTCCTGAGAGCTCCTTGGCCATCTAAAACTTTTGCTGTGCCTTCTGTGGGTTTTTTTCACTTTAAAATGCTTTAGAACACACCCTTTAGCATTTCTCTTTGTTTATTGATCAATTTATGGTGTAAACCTGGATCCAGCTTCTTCCCAAATGCAGAACAAAACCACTACCAGTCTGGATTAGTGATAATTTTATGAACAAGCCCTGGACGTGTTCATTCCTCTTGTTCTTTTTGGAAAATTTTCATTTTTCAAAAGTTCTGGTGCCCACAGGTATTTTGCTGGCACTTGCAATCAGGCTTTCCCTCCCCAAAGGGTTGTTGGAGAAGGTGGACCTACGTACTGTGTGTCTGCCAAGGAGGCCCTGACGCTGGCCCAGATGGACACAAACACTGCGGGGAGACCTGGAGAGGCAAGAACCAGAGCGAGGAACATGGATGAAGCACCACTGCCCTTATCTGGGCACCCAACCATGGCTGATGCCACAGCTCCCAGCTGGTCTCAGAGTCACAGCAGTGGGTTGGGGTCCATGCTTACCCCAGCCGATGATGATGAGGACCCACAGGTAGTTCTTGTTGGAGAGGAAGGCCATGAAGATCAGGCTGTGCAGGTAGAGACCTTCCACCAAGATCCAGTAGTGGTTGGTGGCCAGAAAATAGAGGAAGAGGGTCACCACCACCTTGCAGCCAGCCTGTGGATATATAGTCAGAGAGGTGCCCAGATCAGTCTGTCCCCTGAAACATAAACCTGGTGGCTTTTGCTCTGTGGTCAGTGAAACCCAGGCTGTGCTCCATGCCATGGCTTAGGTTCCTCTTGAAGGGACCTACATCTCCCCTGGGATGCTCCAGCACCAGATGTAGAGCTGGTGCTCTAAAGGAGAGGTATTTCCCACACCAGGGTACTCTGAGCTCAGACAGGCTGAGACCTGTGTCCTCTGTGGCTCTGATCTCTGCTGTGGCACCAGGACGAGGAGAAGCTGGACAGAGCTGTAGGTGACCCTTCATCCCTTCCCAACTACATCACTCCTGAGCAGCACAGCCCCAATCAGGGAAGATCCCAAGCTCATTCCCTTGCACCAGGGCTCCTAAATCCCTTTTCCCCCTGATTCTGCCTCCAGTCTCAGCCCACCACTTGCCAGGTGGCTCCGTTGTCCTGGTGAAGGACCCATTTCTGCCTTGAAGTCGTCCTCCCGCATCTTCTCCGTCTCGCTGGCCAGGGTCCCCGAGTAGAGCACCATGTCCTTCACAAAGATGCTCACCGCCCGGCAGATGAAGGAGGTGAAGAGGTGGACGTGGATGTAGTTGCGTGTGCAGTGCAGGCGCCTACGGAGAAGGTGTGTGACAGGATCCCAGCCCTGGCTGCCCAACAAGCTCATCACAGGTGAGGGAGGTCCCATCAACGGGGAGGTCCCAGAGAAGTGGAGCTCCAAGGTGTCAGCCCTCCCACGGGCACAAGAAACCAGATCTGGGGGCAAGTAGGGTGGGGAGTTGGTCATACCGGGGGGTGTTGAGGGGCTTTGGGAAATGGTCTGATGTTTGTGCTGGAGTTTGGGGCCAGTTCCCATTCCCTAAGGGGCTGCTCCCCCTCGGGGGGTCATGTGTGCAGATGGTGGGGAGAAGACACCAGGATGGGGGTTCAGCTCCTCCTTACTTGAAGTACGAGAGGATGCAGACGGCGACGATGAGGGAGGCCAGGGAGATGGAGTAGCCGATGGTGTACATCAGGTGCAGGCGATCAAACACCTCCTGGAAGAGAAGACAAGGGCTGTGCTCCACAACCCCTCCGCAGCCCAAGCCACCTCTAGGCTGAGAGCACGAGGGGAGCAGGGCTTGTCTGGGGAGTGGAGGGAGAAGAGCTTCCCGCTCCCAGCAATTCCCCTGATTCCCATCCCAACCCCTTTTCCCAGCATCTCCCATGAGCAAAGTCACCTTCTCACGGCTCCGGCTCTCGGAGGAGAAGAGCAGAGCACATTCAGTGTAGTTGGCCCAGGTCTTGTTGATGCTGAGAGCCATGGCCCAAGTGCCGTAGGCGCTGCAGTACCTGTAGGCATGACCTGGGAACAGCGATGGGTGCTGTGACAGTGGCAGGACCCACGGGACACATCCCTGCTCGGTGGGGGATTATCACCAAGGTGAGGTCACTCCCTGCATGGGTGCAAGCACTTACCTTTATGGTTGAAGTCGTAGATGTAATCAGGGCAGGGCGCTGACACCTCCTGGCTGGGAGAGCCCTTCGGCCAGCAGATAATCCCATCCCACTCTGGAGGGCAGCTGGTGTCTGGCCAACAAGCAAAGAAACATCTCAGTTTGGCTGCAGACAGGGCCACAGCGGAACCTCCGGCTTCCCCAAGCCTCTGCTGGACCAGGGCGAGGAAAATGCACAGCCACGCGGTCACCCCTGGCCTGCAGAGCAGGGGAGCTGAGGAAGGGATGGGGAGAAGGACACCTCCCACCTCCTCCTGGGGAGAACCAAGGCCCCTCCATGGTCTCGTTTGTGGTGGGCATGGGGCAGCCTGGAAATGGTGCAGCCAGCACTGGCTAATCGAGGTGATGATCTGAGTAGCATCTGTTCATGCCCAGAGCAGCTGTGGTTCCAGGAGCTCCACAAACCCTCAGGAACCACGTGTCCCCAGCCCCATCCCACTCCCATTGCAGGGGAAAGCATTTCCCACAGCATAGCCATCTCCCCTGGGACTGGCTGACCCATGCACAGGGGAGGGATGCTACCTTTGATCTTCTCCAGTTGGGCTTTTATGTCTCTCTGACATTTCTCCTTAGCTTCCACCAGGAGATAGATCTGCTCTTCTTTTGTGAGAACATCATCAGGGTCAACCTGCCAAGACAAAACCAAAGTGATGACCCCCATCTCCACATGGCTTGGCTTGGGCCAGCAGCTCAGCTCAGGTCTCCTCTTTGTGCTCACAATTTAGAGATGAATCTTCCCTGGGAGATCTCAACCCACGATGGTGATCTCCACGCCCCCAGAGAGCTGCCACCATCTGCTCGGTGACACATTCACCTTCCTGCTCCTGTTTTTCCCTCCTGACACTGACCACAAGCCCCCCTTCCACCCTGTCCATGGTCCACTGAGAAATGCTTTTTTTTTCATGTTTCTGTGCTAGAAATCAGCAGCTCATCAGGCTTCTGCCCGGCTTCTCCTCACCCACCCCACCAGTGGGGCTGGATGTCCCCATCACCCATGATGAGCTCTTCAGAGCCAGGTCTGGTTAAAGTGCCCAGCCAGGGCTCTGCAAACAAGTGGGTGCCAGCGTGATGCCTCCTGGTCACACCACATGTGTCCTTTGGGACATTTTGGAGATGCTGAGTTTGGAGCCAGGATGGGGAAGCAGCTTTGGAATTGCAAAGGAGTCAGGATGGAGGAGGCTCCTGTTGGCTCCCACCTGCCCACAGGTGAGCACGGCCAAATCCTGCCCCAGAGAGGAGACCCTGAGCTCCCCCCAAAAGCAATCATCTGGGTGGGTGGTGAGGGGTGTAGGGCAGGAGTGGGGGGTCCTGGGGATGTATCAGGGTGGGGACCCAGCTTTGGGAGAGGCACTGGGTGCACCCAGCTCGGCCCTCACCACATCCCTGCAGCCTCGCCGGTGCTGCCCGTAAATCACCCAGCTCTTTCTGTTCCCCCGACGCCTCTGAGGCAGTGAACCCTGCCCTGGATACCTCCAAGAAATGGAAAAACCATCATGTCCTGGTGGCCCATGGCTGCTGGGAAGCTTTTAGTGGGAGCAGAGAGGCTTTTCCCTCCCACCCAACTCCTGCTCAGCAGCTCTACAGGGTGGGATGTGCAGCTGGGGACACACGGCCCTGACCAGAGCTGGTTGCACCATTAATAACAGTTAAAGGCAAGAGAGGGACTGGAGGAGCCCACGCAGACTTACCAGAGCCCACGCAGAGCTCAGGAGGCAGCAGCAGAGGAGAACCACCGGGATGCCTCCCACGGGGACAGATGCCTCCATCATCCCACCGTGTCACTTGGATGGGGACCTCAGGGACAGCGAGCTGGAGGGAGCAAAGCCTTCACCTGGGGACAGCCGAGCTGCTGCCAGCCCAGGGCTGCAGGTGATGGAGAGGG